TCAGTTAAATTATTATGTCATGAATGCAATAAATTACCCCCATATAATACAAAATATCCAACAACAGAGTTCCGTTGGATATTTTGCAGAGAAGATGAAAATATTACATTGGGAAGTCTTGCAAAAATCAGACTGGACTATAATCTTGATTTGATTTTGAACTCAAAAACCACCTCAGTTAAAATACTGTGTCATGAATGGAATAAATTAACCCAATATAATACAAAATATTTAACAATGGAGTTAAACGTCTTCTGGACAAAGACTGAAAATGTTACAATAGGATGTCCTGCAAAAATAAGATTGGATGATAATCTTCATATTTTAGATTCAAAAACGAATTCAATTAAATGGTTGTGCTCTGAGTCCCATAATACAACCGAAAATAACACTAAATATCCAACAACAGTGTACAAAATCTACTGGCAAGAGGCTGAGAATATCGACAGAAAGGAAATCAGGCATAAATACACTTATTCTGAATTATCTTTTATAAAAAATTTGACTAACTCCCCATCACTCTTAAAAGCTTTTGACAAACTGAAAGAAAAAGTACCAAAACAAATTGATACAAATGTCCAATATGGATTCATTGGAATCTATAATCGCAGTAATGAAAAATGTAATCTAGTGGATTTTTGTAATCTTAAAAAAGCAAATTTGAATAATGAAGGAAATGCACCTAAAATCCACACAGAAGAATACATTTGTAAGAAAGCAGATATATTCTTAAAGTACCATAAGATTAGTGCTGATGATATGGTGGTTATTTTCACTAAGAACAGCCCATGTATTGTCAACAAAGGAAAGCATTCTTGCATGGACCTCCTTCATACCTATTGCAAGAAATGGTATGATGATTATGGAATTCCTTCAGTTATTGGTTTTGACCAGTACTATGGTTTTACAGGGTACAAAAATTATTTTTCACATCTACAAAATGACGAACACTTGTTTCATTGTTTATTGTCAGGCACTTCTAAAAATTGTGAACATTGTAAGAATAATTACAGTAGCAAAAAACTCCAACAAGCACATGATCTACCACAAAATGCCAATTTAATTTTAACTATACCAGATAGTTCCAAATTTCTAAAAAGAATGTTTAAGCCTCTAAAGGAACGTAAAAAGCATGTGAATGATGAAAAATATATAACATTGCCTACAATTTATGAGATTGTTGAAAATATAAAGACTAAAACTGAAGGCCTTACAAACTACAAAGAGTACTTAAACATTGAAGATGATATTACCAGGACATATCCAGGATGTATGAAAACAGAATTTCATAAAGTATGGATGCTCTACATTGCTCACATTACAAAAGTGGCAGCAGTAAAACACATGGATCAGAAACTAAAGAAGAACATTTTCTATGCCTTTCTTAAACACGTTGAGGGAGAGCA